TTGCTGGTTGGGTTGGGAGCAGCTCAAGGGTTGTTCTTCGAGGTAGCTAATTGGGTCACTGGAAATGACTGACGTTAAAGAGATCTGTGAGAGGGGGTGGGGGAAGGGGGCAAGGAGTACCCCTCTGTGCGACTTGCTCTAATTAGCAGGCAAGTGCAAGTTGATTAAAACGCAAAGTAATTGGATTAAATGACACACAGGGCTCTGAACGGGTCTGTCCTCCCTTGAAAAATTCCACCCCATAACAAACCCACATCTTAATCTTACGAGAACCATTTATTGTATTCGTGCTGAGTTAATGGCCTTTATTGCTTTTCATGCTAATCACACAGCGTGTGAAAATGAATGACGAAGAAATCAATTGCCAATGAGAACAGAAAGAAGAATCAAGTTGTAAAATGGTATGCACAATTGGTGGTGGTAATGGCACACAATGGCCAGTAATTGGTCATTGATAGGAGTCAAAAGTTTATTGGACGCATAAAAAATGATAAAAACATTCCTCCACCCATTCTTCTAAATGACATCATATTTCGTCAAAATGGTCAATGTGATATTATAATGTAAACCACGATCCGAAAACTGTAAACCACTTTCAAATAAATATATTAGAATGAAAGAGAATAAATAGTTAAGGAGAAAACCTAAAGAAACCCTATAAGTACGTAGAAGAACTCAAATTCACAACGGCTGGGTACGTAGGCCGATGTGGTTGGACCAGCAGTAATAATAGAAAACAGTAGAGTCAGTATAACGATATCGCTGATGACTGCAGTGATTTTGGTCTAGGTAGTGTTAGGTTGACAAGTTAACAATTAAGAATAATTGCAACCGTCTGACTCGTCTGTTAAGAGCCAGACGGGCATTAACTCTGAATTAAAGTGCAATATTTAACCCCCTTCTTCCTCTAAACAGATGATGCATGTATGTGTCGTTCGAGTAACTATTTCAACGAGTAATAAAAATGTCTCGAAACGATGAGAAATATAAAGTTCTGGATTATATAGATTTATTGAAGGAGAATGCTGGCATGATCAGAGGATTACAGTGTCTATTGAGAGCCAAAAAGGCGTTAAATCTGTGTTAAAGTATATGAATGAACGCCCTCCTGGCTCCAGAAAGTAATATTGCATAAACCGTAAACGCATGTATGAGCAGCCACCCGTTTGTTGCCTGCCTCCAAAAGACAGGGGTATTTACATACAGAATGATAAATTATAAGATAAGAATGATAGAAGTATGGAACAATACGGAGATGACTACTACCCTGTCACTCTGCAGGCAGTTATATTATCTGATGACTTGACAAATGAGGATTCCTCGACAATAAAAATAACTCGATTTCTTTAATTTGCCTTCCAAGGAAAGCATTACAATAGTTTCGAATCAGATTTCGAATTATATGTTGCTCGTTAAAATTATTGACAGTAAATAAAGAAGTAGGCTTGGCCACTTTATCTGTTTCTCGAGTCCTACCTTCTTAGAATGTACCACCAAAGTGAAAAGGTTACATTTTATAGTTTAATCGACCTTCAGAAAATAAAACGTTTTAGGTTTATTTCAACTTTTCTTTATTTACTGATATCGCAGGTGCATGAAATGTGTGGCCGTTTTAAAAACTGAAAAGCTTCAGGTTTGTTTTTCTACAGTTTTCTGAAACTGAAATAGCAGGTGCATAAAATGTAAGTCGTGCTAAAAAGTTATTTCAGCATTTCTTTTAATCGAAAAATTGCAGTTGCATGAAATGTGCAACCCCTTTAGAAATAGTCTAAATCGACATAAATTTGCGTGAACATTACTGCCTTGTTTTCGTCGTTAATCACTTTTTTGAACTTATGAACTGTCCCTGAGAATATAAGAATGCCATAAAACCAGCCTGAATTACAGATGAGGTGATACAATTTCATACTCAGATAGGAACAGAGTGAAAGATGAAACAGAGACAGAATGAAGTAGGAACAGTCAATTTTATCCATGTTTTAAAGTTGGTAGTTATTTCTTTTTCCCTCGAGTAACCAGATCTAATATATTGTTTACGTCAAAACACAGTCTAAAACTTTAAGGGAAAGGGATTCTATCACCAACATCAAAGATAGCCCTTGGGCCAAAATTTTCTCATATAGCCTCTCGGAAAATAGCGGGAATCCTTGTTATTCTAGTTTTCGAACTCATGGAATTTTCCCTTTTTATGGAGAAAAATCCTCGCTATTTCTTCCTCTCCCCTCTATACCCATCTTATTTTAATCCAGACGCTTGGCCTAGAGGCGGCCCTCTCGAATTTCGCGAGATTTTCCATTGAAACTAGAAAGTGTTGGTGGGGCAATGATTAAGCCTAGTGTGCGACGAATACTAATGCGATAGTGAAAAATACTCGCGAGGATGTAATACAGGATCAAAAATGAAAGAAATTATGGGAACTTTTGAAAGAAGAACTCTTCAGTTTTTAAGCAGGTTCCCCCGAGTTTCTTTTTTTATTTGAGCCGAGGGAATGCTAGGGGAAAAGAATAAAATTGATAAACTGGCCTGTGATGGATTACTTAATTATGAAACTCATTCAATCTTAATGATTTGATTTCCAGAAGTGCATTTCAATAGAAATTGAACGGGGCCAGCCAGCAAGCATTTATCATTTAAAAAAAAACATGGTAGCTAAAGTATTTGTAAAATTCATTCTCTTACTTCTTTAAAAAGGGGAAATCAACACGTTAACAAGTGTTGGGAAGACAAAATGAACGAATCGTCGTCTCTGAATCGAGCCGATTAAAATGTATTGGTTTAATGACTATTCAGTTTAGCCTAAACATATAGAAGTTCGGGAAACTACGGACACGACAGGGTAGCTGGAACCGGTGTGAATAGCATGCGTCTAACTATTTCAAAGTACCGCGATGACTATTATGTATAATTATGGGCATGACGGTTTTAGCATTTTATGTGGAATCAAACATATCCATATTTCTACAATCACACCAGCGTGTAGTTTCTGTCTAGATATCAGTTATGCAGGACATACCAACACCTTTTCTCTCTGCTAAATTCGCCCACTCCTAACCCGTCATCAAACACTTGATCATGTTTGTTTTTAATCATTTAGCACCATGTCATCCCAAGTGTGGGGGAAACTGTGCCAAGTGCTGCTTCAATCTGTCATCTTCCCATTTCCCATTCAAGTTTGGAGAGTTAACAACAAGGTTTGGAGTGTTAGGAACATTTCCCGTACGGTTTTAGATTTCCATTATATAACCGACATCTCGGACAGTTGATAGTAAGGGTCTAAGGGATCGATATGCACTTCATTCTAAAGAGCAATAACCTATTCCCCGATGATAACAAACACGAACACACAGGAACTGATGATGTGGATACGTCTAGCCGTCCTAAGATCTAGACAACTTTTATTATAGCCTTAACTCCCGTATCCCCAAAAGCCTACCATTATATTGAATTCGGACATGTTACTTCTGCGTGTGGCAATGATCGGGTTAATCAATGAGTAAAATGAATTCTATATGATGGGAAGTCTCCCTCTTCTTTCAAAGTAAATTTAACACTCTCGTTACCAGAAGCCGTCCATGAAATTGATGTTGTCGTGCCATTTCTACGTTTGGTCCTGATGAGCGGTTTATTCAAGTAGTATACTTAATTCGCATAGACAGTCCACCGTGCAACATAACCTTAACACCCTTATTCCCACAAACATCCGATGACATTCACTTGTACATGTAACTTCTGCGTATGGCACTGACCGGGTTAACCCAGCAGTATAATGAATATTATTTAGGGAGTCAACCCCTAAGGCAGCGAAGGGGGACTCAGACCACTGAGACCAGCAGCGATTGAAGAATTAGTCACAAATGCAGCGTTTCCTCGCCGTCCATCGGTCACAAATTAAGCATGATTAGAGGCATTCCGAGACACTCCGTGAGTGATGTATGAGGTATCCATGGTGTCCTCAAAGGGCAGTTTCCACTGACAGAATTTTCATTTCATTAGGCCGATTAAACGTCTATACCTACAACTGTCATTATTACACAAACACTTGTTCTTCAATCTATAATGTAAGATATTATAATCTAGGTTAAGCATTACAGAGGCCTTATCATTTTAGAATGAGAGGTTCGCTGAAAATATTTGGCTGCAGCTCAAAGAAGGCACAATTCCTTGAAAAGTATTTAAAAATGGTTGTTAGCAGAGCAGCCACATATTTTCACATAATGAACATAACGAAGCTATCAATCGGTTCTATCGGTGTACACATCCTGATATAATAAACATTTTCTCAACAATCTATGTTGATAAAACGTTTAGTCTGATATCACACCGTAATGAAATTTCATTTATGAATGAACTTTCAAGAATTCAAAATATATAGAGCCCCTTTTCTTAAAACGACATAACATGTTATGTAAAAAGAACAAACTCGGCGCAGTGCATCTGGATAAGAGTGATAATGGAAATATTCTCGGGATACTGGCGGGATGGGCAGTGTCTAGCCTACACCGATCCCTTGGTGAAGTTCACAGCAATTATTACTCATGAATTTCAACACTTGGATCGCATTTCGGGCACTTGATCGGCAGTAGAATAAATTCGAAGAGGAACGCCAAAGGGTAGTAGTCGGATTGGACACAACGAGTTATGTGTATGTTGATGGAAAACCTGGCAATTGCTTCTCTTAAATCAATCGTCGAGAGGTCTAAGTATTCACTGATCAAATTTGTATAAAAGTGTATTTAGACAAGAAGTATTATTTTGCCTACTATAGTACATATTACAGACAACTTGCTTTCCGAAATATATTTTCTTGTGCTGACTGATTTTGTGTAGAGGACCGGACAAATGCCAATATCAAAAAGATATAAATTCTTTCATTTCAGTTTTGCAGATGAAATGACTAGCCTATCATGATATGTGCGTCATTTAAACATTTTTATTCTCATTACGAATGTCCATAGATATTCTGGTTCAAAACACAGTCACAAGTGTCTCAAAGTACAGCGTAGAATGCGCTCGTAATCATAAAGTACGATTGTACCAGCTCGGCCAAATTCTTTTCAGATTCTAAGTTTCAAATCAATGTATTAGGTTTCTCTATTCAATTAAGATCTTTAGATAATCCAAAAGTAACGAGGTTTCGATACATATGAAAATGGAAGCCAGTGTGTGACATTTGAATAACAACCATGTAAACATACTTCAAAGAACTACCGGAGATAGTTTGTTGTTTACTTACGTATGCATTCGTTGGCTTCCTTTGAGGTGGCTCTGGCCCAAGGTCTGTCGTAATGGAAGGTCTTACAAAGCTCACATTCTCTTCCAGCTGTATTATGCTTGCAGTCGCACTCCATCTCCCCGTCCCGTCCTGGGCCACAGCTCGACGCGTGTCCGTTGCATTTGCAACGTCCGCCCACGGATAGGTCCGAGAGAGCGTAGTAGAGACTCTCCCGAGGGTTCTCGTCCTCGTTCTCACCGAGGACCGGTAGCTTGTTGAAGACGATCTTGATGTCGGTGGCCGTGACCCAGTCCTGCAGGACGGGACTGTTGTCGAAGTCGTATGCGGAGGGGCGTCCTTCCAGGGTGCTGAAGGCCACCCGGGAACCGGCGATAAGATCCGAACTATGGATATCCGTGCAGGCTGGCTCCTGCTCATTCTGCTTGGTGATGACAGCATTCTTAGGCATCCCGTAGGTCTTTCGGCACTGGCTCGAGTAGTACTGATAAGGTTGCCATGTCTTGCCGAAGTCCTGCGACTTGAAGATGACCATGGAGTCTGGGTGAAGCCAGCAAAACTCCATGGAGATGTAGGTGATCTCGAAGCGCTTTGTCAGTGACAGCTTCAGGGTGACGTTGTGCTGGCTTTGGGTGAAAGGCTCTGATTGCCAGCAGGTCAGGTTGTTGGGGTTGTGCAGATCGGTCAGGTAGGATGCCGGGTGACGGCGTTTTGGGTGGCTCTCGTCGCAGATGAAACAGTTCCTCTGCCTCTCACCTTCTGCGCCGCTGGACAAGGCGCAGAAGCGACTCGGAGGATCCCCACACGTGCTGGAGGCCTCGACGGGAGCCTGGAAAGCGGCGTTGACGAAGTCCGGCTCGCATCGCTTGGGGACGTTGTTCTCTCCGTAGCATGGGTCTCTCCGGGAGTCTTGTGCCGCAAACATGCTGATACCACTATTACCAGAGCGGGCTCCCCGGCAGCTGCCAAATCCCATAATCACAAAAACACTAACCACGTACCACCACAAAGCCATCTTACTATGCTCCGTCCTCCTTAGACAAAGACTTACAATTTGCATCTTACTTCAGTTATGTTTAATCCAAATCCAAAAAAGTATGTTGTGTAAATCCAAATTATGTTGTATCACTTGAGCTGTGATATACCAGAGAGGGTGAATAATATCCAATAAATATATCTTAATCACAAAAAGTATAAAGATCCAAATAAATATACTTGATCTCGATTATATCACATCACATAAGCGTTTGTTATAGTCCTCGTTATCACAAAAGACAATGATTTTTATTCCGAGAGAGGAAGTAAACAGGAATCAAATCTCCTGGTGCTGTTTCCAGCTGAGAACAAAATCAGAATGATGCCTCTGTCGAGAGTCGCGATGCGTCCAGCCTCTCTCTACATGTGGATATTGGAGAAGAGGACGAAACACTGATCAATGCGAGTTGATTACATCCAAATTATGTTGCGATCAATAAACATCCATTGACATTGTGGGTGACATTTCCCTCAGTCTCTCCTTCTCTCTCTCTCTCTCTCCTCTTCTCTCGCTAGCGTTCAGCCGTCTCTCACAATCCTACTGAAATGAATTTCTACTGGGATATGAACTCAGAATGGTCGAACGGTGGATGCACAGAGAGGCGAATGCAAACGCTCGATATTAGTTTTCCGTGTCTTCTCGCTTTTTGCTCGAGTGACTGTGTACGCTGCCCGCCGCGTTGAACCGCGATCTTGACGAAGATTCATTGCGGCGACACTGCGCGTGCGTTGAATTGAACCAATAGGAAACCGCGCTATGACAGTTCAGTAGTTTGCTGTGGATGGATAGACTGTACGTGTGGTCTGTACAGCTTTTCTTCTTTTTACGCCGATTGGTGTGAAACGGAGGGGTTTCTTTACGCTTTTGTTTGTTTCTTGACATTTCTATTTGTGTTCTATGTCACGGCTACCAGTCATGAGCAAAGACCTTGTTTGCACACTGCTTTCAGCCGTGAGATTCGGTGACAAAATGAAAGAAAGAGAGAAAGAGAGAGAGAGAGAGAGAGAGAGAAACGGGGAAAAAGGGGGGGGGGGGGTGGAGGGAGAGTTTGGAAGTGAAAGCGTCATGAAAATAAACAGAATGCCAGCAATTTTGTAAAAGAAATATATCATTTAGTTTAAGACAAAGTTGGCCTCAACTTATGGGGGTAATATTACAAAATATGTACACTTGTATTTTTAATGATGTTTAAATACAGTTGACATAGACTTGGCTGATAAAAAAGGAAATGAACAAAACAGCATATTAATACAAAAAGTAAATTTAATGTAAATTTCATATTCACGAAGAAGAGAAATTTTCCATCGTTGTTTTTATCATGTACATTATATTGCAACCATTACAAATGCGTCTACGGACTGCTAGCATAGATTATATTAAAACTATTTTAAAAATAATTTGTTCTTCTCCAATCAATTGAGAGAGAGAGAGAGAGAGAGGGAGAGAGAATGAGAGAGAGAGAGAGAATGAGAGAGAGAGAGAGAGAGAGAGAGAGAATGAGAGAGAGAAAAGGGTGGGGGGGGGGTTAGAAAGGGAGAGAGGGGCGAAGTTGTATTACATAAATGCGGAAAAGAAAATAAAAAATTAAATGAGGTGAGAAAAACCTGTGCTTTCAAAACAGTTGGTTTTAAAGGTGTATTTACATTACTCTTTTAGGTTTGTTCAAAATAGTACAATTCTACATGTACTACGTCTAACGATTGGCTTTATTGGACATTTCTGTATTATTTCAGAGTCACTATTTTGAATAGTAAAGGAGCTACAATTTCAGCTACTAGTTTGCATTAAAAAAAAGTGATAAGATTATCATAAATCTACCTTAAGGCTACTTTAAATGATTAGAATTTCTCCAAGATCATCGTTTAATGTATGAAAACAGAAATAAGCATCTTTTGTAGTATTTTTTTTCATGAGAATTTGTTACAAAATACACTCACGGAATGTTCCACAATAATCTACAAATGTCATTTTTAGAGAAATATCTAATACTCGGATTTTGTTGATATATTAGACGCCTAAATAATTTGACCTAATTGTTCGTTATAATACACGTACTGTCACATTTGAATGTCCCATCCAGATTTGTGATAGTTTAGAGAGAAAAACAAACAATTGAAGTTTGACTCTGAGATAATGAGCTACCTGACCGGTTCTTAAAAAAAAAGCGAAAGGTTGAAAAAGTGAACAGCTCCGACGGAAACAAATTATAATCTAAAATGGAAATAAGCTTGTTTTTAGCAACAATAACAACACATCAATCTTCACAAAAATAGTCTCTCTATGGTTTTCGTTGACTAATATGCGGCAATCTGTTTAAATAGGATTGGAAATCTTTGCTAAAAGTTCATTCGTCATCCAATGCGGTTTCAAAACAGAAACATTTTCAAAAAGTAGAAACCCTTGAAATGATTTCTTTTAACAAGATTCTAATTGGGAACGGCTTTACGTAATCCGGTCAAAGATGAACGTCGGTATTTTTAAAGACCTCTGAAAAAAGGCTCTATACTTTGTGAATCAATCTCTTTTCTTGTAAGCCAAATTGGTCCCCGTTAATCGGGGTATTAGGCCCTGTTTAAGGTGTCGTTAACCCTTGTAATGACCGATGAGATCAGTGACGGATTTTAAACTTCCGACTTTTTCTGGACATTCTTCACGTCGGGATCAATTAGCCAGAGTTGGGACAAACAAGTCTTGTCGAAATGACACCCGGTGAGCGGACCTGGGAGGCGCAACCTCCCCGAAAGTCCCGGGTCCGTGGTCCGAGGCGACGAGAGTACCAGCTGGACCTAGATAACACGCAGAGTTTTAGACCTTCGTGTTGGTTTAATGGAAAATATGATACCGGAGACCTAGAATTTGGCCCTCAAAGTTGAAAACCGATATGCTGTCATCATGTTATTTCCATCATTGGCCTAGAATATCTGAGGATTGGGGACAAGTTATGAAGAGCAGAGCCAGTCGCCCCATCTGAATATCTGTATTCAAATATTGGTATTACCGATATGTAATCCTAAAGGTGAAATAAGAACCCAACTCCTATTCAAAAAATAATTATAAGTTAGATATACTCATATACTTCGAATTGCCAGTGTCCTTGGTAAAGAATTTTACTTTCATATTTTGATTCGTCAAGCTCAGAGTTTTTGTCCTATCCCCATTATACTGCTCGAATTAGAACTCCCCCTATGCTAAAATCTTTTCTTTTTAAGATGAAATTTTTTCGAGGCAACATAATATATACATGCATCCTTTTTTCAAATTCTCATAAATGTTAATCTAGAAGAGAGCTCGGAAATCATTTTTATTATTATTATTATCATCATTATAGTATCCCCAGTTCCCTCCGAAAGACTCCTCCAATTGACGAAGAAAAATTGGGACGGAAAGGGAAGACGGATTACTTATTAAAGGGACTTGGTAACATTGTTCAGATGAGAGAAAATGGTGCTCAGGTAGTGAATTCAATGCTAGATGTATTAAAATTAAAGATAATCTGAAAGTTTGAGTGAAAACGGACCATTATTAATGATAACAATTGGAAAAAACTGATCTGGTCAATTCCAGAATTCTCCCAACTATATTATTACAATTTAATTAGGTTTGAAGAGAATTTAAATTGTCACAAAGCAATAAATTGGCTCTTTAAACCATTCCAGACATTTAAGTGTTAACATATTTTTAAAAGCCTGTCTTATGTTTTATTTTCATGAAAAACGGTTTGGGAAAATTCAAAAATGGTCGGGAGAATTTAATTTTTAGGGTGTTGTACAGTGACGCCTTCAAAGAAAACCATAAATATCTTTGAGGTTTGAGAATGTTTTCAGGATTTCGTGCATGTTAGAGGATTAGTAACAGTAGAAGTGGTATAATAAGTAACATTTCATTAACAAAATAGGCAATTTACCAATGTTACCGAGTCACTTTAAATGACGATCAATATCGTCGACATTCGTGTCTTCTTTCAGATTCGATATTTCCAGTCAAGCAAACACGTTGGTTACTCAGAATGAAAACATGGAATGTGATATGTTTTGATTCCTGGAGGTCAGATATGGCGGTTTCTCTCTTGCCTCTGGTCATGTGACTTGCCAACGGATGATGAGAACATCAATTTTAATCACACAAGTAGTCTCAGTTTCTGCCGTCTTAATTTAAAACCTTTTCGCCGTGTTAAGCTCCTAAATATATGAAGTATTTCTATTTTAGTATGTAGTACCAAAACTGGTAATTAAATTGCAGAAGTTTATAATGCGAGACTTTTTAGATAAATTATTATATCTAAAAACCCGTAATCACGTTTTACTTAATCAGCTGATTCTGACGATAAAATGATGATATTTTCTACATTTGAATTGTTGATTTTTTAAAAATTAACTACTACCTTATAACATCTGATGAGTTAAAATAAGTATATCGATTAGGTCCTCTGCAATTTTGTGCCTCCACGCGTCTTCTGGTAAGACAATCCAAAGAGCACTTTGGTGGAGTTTAGTTAAACCATTGTGAAAAAGGAGGTTATAACTGATTAACAACATCCTTTTGCAGGATAGTATTGATCCTTATTTTAACTCTCAACGGTATCATGCACACACTTGAAGCACACCCCGAAATAAAGGAATATTTGAAAAAATTATAACATCATAAATGAGCGATGTCTTGGAGAACGGCTACTTCATCATCATCCTAGATGCTATACCGATCAATGATAGAAACGTAGCAGGGATGTCAACGACCGTTTCATGGTCATTGTCGTCTGGAGAGAAGAAAAATATCCCAAATCTTGTCAATCAGTTATCAGAGAGAGTGAAAAACAAGATAATTAAACAGATTGGTATTAATTTTGACATGTCTCACCATACTATTCAGCCGACCTTTTTTCTTCATATTATTCTTCGTCGTCCTCTCCTTCTCGTTTTTCTTCTGCTTCTTGTTCTTCCTTTTATTCTTTTTCATGGTGGTCATCATCGTCTTCTTCTTCGTTTTCATTGAATTTCTTTCTCCTCCTCCTCCTCCTCATTCTTTTTCCTTTTCTTCTCCTCCTCCTCCTCCTCCTCCTCCATCTTCTTCTTCTTCTTCTTCTTCTTCTTTTTCCTTTTTTCTTCTTCTTTTCTTCCTTTTCTTCTGCTTCTTTCTTCTCTTCCTTCTCGTCCATCTCCGTATTCTCTTTGTTCTTCTTGTTCTTGTTCTTGTTCTTGTTCTTCTTCTTTTCTTCCTTTTCTTCTTCTTATTGCTTCGCTTCCTTCCCGTTCATCTCCGTCTTCTCTTTCTTGTTCTACTTTTTTTCCTTCTTCTTCTTTTTCTTCTTCTCTTCCTTTCTGTCCTTCTCCGTCTTCTCTTTCTTCTTCTACTTATTTTCTCCCCCTAATTTAAACTTTCTTTTCTCATCTTACTTCTGTGGTTTCTATTCTCCTCCTACTTCATGTAAAATCCCATATCCAGGGTCTACTTCGAAAAGGCGCACGTTGGTTCCCAGGTTTGCGGCCCATGTAAATGAACACTGCCCTCTTTCGATTAAGGACTTATAACTGCTGGACACTCATAAATATGTTAAAAGCACTTCAGTAAATGTTCCGGATTTATGATGTGATGTAGACAAAAACAAGTTTATTGATTAATATGGACAACGCACTCTACTTGGAATAATATGATGGGTCACGTCAGCTCGAAAGACCAGTGGTA